TAGTAGAGACGGGGTTTCACCATGTTGACCAGGATGGTCTCGATCTCTTGACCTCGTGATCCACCCGCCTCAGCCTCCCAAAGTGCTGGGATTACAGGCTTGAGCCACCGCGCCCGGCCCGGGAGGTTTTCAATGTGGTCAAAGCTGGGCTCATTGGCTGCAGAGTTGTCTGGGCAGAGGGGTAAGGATCAGGAAGGCCCATGCAGGACAGCCCAAGCTCCCAGGTGTTAGGCTCTGCTTCCCACTCACCTGGGCTCCCAGCTTTAGCTGAAGGAGCTGGTTAACGGGACACTGGGCATCCAGGGTACTGGCTAGCTCAGGGTTGCTGTCCACAGCCTCAAATCTGTGTACCTTACCTGGAGAAAAAGAGCAACAGATCACAAATCGCTGACTTGTGGCTCAGTGTCCAGAAAAACACTATCAGACCAGAGCACGGGGGTATGGAGTAGAGGCTGCACAGGCCTGGGGGGTTGTGGAATTTAGTGCATCACACCTCTCAAAGTCACAATTGCATTTGCAAATATAAGAGCCTTTATGGCCATGGAGGTTGGGGGCCTAGGTCCCAGGGGGCCACATCTGCTTATAATACCCCTCCTAGCTGGCCTTGCCCAGCCCAGGTTCCCTGCTCACCTGGCAACTCCTGCAGCCGCCTCTGGTTGGTGAGGGCCACATCATCCTGGTGGGTGCAGAGCCTCGTGGCCACAATCCCATCTCGCCCCACCTTGTGGGCAGCTGTGGCCCGGAGCTGGTGGGTCACCTCATCTGAGCACCTGTGGGGGCTGGGCTGTCAGGGCAGAGCCCACCTATACGGCAGGGAAAGTGGGGAACATGGGCAGGATGGCTCAAGCAGCAGGCCATGGGTCAGGCCTTGGGAATGGAAGAGGGTACCAGGGAAGAGCTGCTGCCCCCGAAGCTGGCCAACCTGTGCCTTCCATACTTGGACCCCAAACATGGGGAATAAGCACGGGCAGGATACTGAGCTTTGATCATGGGTGAGCACGCTTCCCCGTGCTGCCCCCAGGTCAGAGCTGGCCACCCTCCCGCCCCATAATGCTCCTGGGGACGTTGGCTATGATGAGTGAGCACAGACTAGAGATCTGCAGGACCAGAGTGGCTGCCAGGGTACAATCTTCTAGCCACTTGCCTGCTACCTCGGGTGAAAAATCTAGCTTGTTTCTAATTTCCCCAGTATCAAGCCTTCCTCCACCGGGAAGCCTGGGTGCAGCACCAACTCAAGCGGGAGGATGGAACAGCTTGGAGCCATCTCTGCCTGTTCTGCCACTCAGCCTTGCTCTTGCCCTCCATGCATGCCAGTGTGGGCTCTTCCCCTTCCTGTCTGCCTTTACATTTCAACCTTTTGCTCTAGCTGGAGAGAGATCATATCTGCAACCTCCCCTCCTCCACTATGGGGTTCCACAAGCTCTAAGAGCAGAAGGAACTTGAGTTTTGGAGTCAGCCCTGGGTACAAATTCCAACCACTTACTGGCCATGACTTCAGGTGAGTCACTTCACCTCTTTGAGCCCTAGTTTTCGCATCTGTGAAATGGGCTGTTAACATCTCTGAATTCCTCCTGTGTCTGTCCTCCTTCCTTCCCTGACACCTACTTTGTGCCAGCACTTGTACTAGGTGACAGGGACCCAACCCTGAGGGAGGCTGGGTCCCAGCACTCACAGAGCGACCACCTCCTATGGGGCCATGAAGCTCTTGACTACGGTCTATCCTGAATTGCCCCGTGCCCTGCCCAAGGCTCCTTTTCCTGCATGGAGTGCCTGCTCCTGAGGGCAAGCATTCTCCCCCTTCCCTGGATGCCTCCCTGTGTTCCACTCTGGCCCATGCCTGGATCCTCATCCCATGGCCCCTTCCCCATCCAGCAGAGCTCACCTGCCCAGCCTCACGGCCTGCAGTAGAGAGATGAAGGTCTGGTCTGCCTGCCTCCACACCTTGGTCAGCTCCAGGGTCACTGGCACACACCTCTTCCAGCTCTTGGCCTGGGGGGGCAGGGTGGGGTGGGTCAAGGAGCAGAGCAGACCCCGTCCATGGAGAGCAGGGCTAGGAGGTGAGTGGTACCTGGAAGCAGAACCTTGGGGGCTGGGAGCCCTTCGTCACAGGTGGCAGCTGCAGAAAGTCCCCACAGATGATGAGCTGGATCCCTCCAAATGGCTTGTTCTGCTGCCGGACAGCTCTGGAGAGGAGTGTGGGGTGCTTTAGGGGCACACAGAAGACCACCAGGTCCCAGTAATTACCTGGTGCCCATTGAACATACTGACCTGGCCACGGCCTCCAGTTTGTCAAACAGGTCTGCCTCCACCATTGAGATCTCGTCAATGACCAACCTCTGGCAGTTCAGCCAGCCCTGCCGCACACCCGGCCTTTGGGCCAGGGCCACACACTGGGCGAGAGGAGCCTGGCCTGAGCCGATGCCTGTGAGTGACACTATTCAGCCTGGGCTAATATCCAAACCCTCTTTCCTTTTTTTTTTTTTTTTCAAAACAAGGTCTATCTCTGTCACCCAGGCTGAAGTGCAGTGGCATGATCTTGGCTCACTATAACCTTGGCCTCAAGGCCTCAAGCAATCCTCCCACCTCAACCTCCATAGTAGCTGAGACTATAGGCACACACCATCATGCTCAGCTAATTTTAAAATTCTTTGTAGAGATGCGGTCTCACTATGTTGCCCAGGCTGGTCTCAAACTCCTGGGCTCAAGCAATCCTCCCACCTTGGCCTCCTAAAAGTTCTGGGATTATAGGCGTGAGTCACTGTGCCCGGCCCCCAAAACCCTCTTAACGTAGACCTCCCCTCTCTCACTTCCCAGAAGCTGGACTTGCTCTTAGCTCAAGCCCCAGGGGTTCCCACTTACCGGCAAAGGCATGAAGGGTGGTACCCCCGATGTGGCAGGCTGCTACCCCAGTGCTGGCAGTGGCCACAGTGCCTGTGGGGGGCAGTAAGCCCAGTATTCGCTTCAGCAGATATGACTTCCCTGTTCCTGGATGGGGTCAAAGTTAGATAGGGCTCCCTGTTCCTCCATCCCACCCCACCACTTTCCCCCTACCCCCTCTCTGCCCCTACTACCTGCACTCCCAGTGAAGAAAATGCTCTGGCCTTTCAGGACGGCCCTCAGCACAGCAGCCTGTTCCTCAGAAAGCTGTGGCTTGGTGGACGGTAAGCTCAGCCTCTTCACAGGCTGGGGCCACCTTGGGGCTTCCTGGGGGGAACAGAGGTATCTCAGAGCATCTTCCCACCAGCTAGGCATTGCCCCCACCCTTCTTGGCCCATGTGCAATGCTGGGCCTGGTAGCCCTTTGTCCTCTGCTGCCTTCATTTCTTGGAGCTCTTGGGTTTGCCTGGAGAGCCTGTCAGCAACTACTAGGGTCCAGGTCTCTCTTTGTGCCCTGAAGACCTCCACTGTCCAGTCCTGGGCAGACCACCCCGTGTGGTCCAGACCCTTCCTCAGTTCCTTCCCCTCGGTTCCCTAACCCTTCTCATCCTGTCATCTAAGTTTCCTTCCAGTCACCTCAGTTTCTCTTCCTATAATAAACCTGTTTCTCACCTCAAAACACCCAAGCAAAACCCTGCCTAGCCAGGGCCGCTTCTTGTCCTATCTCTGTCCTCTTGTCAGCTTAGTGAGTGTCTTATCCTAGTGGTGTATGATTCACCTACCCCAGCCCACAAAAACTGTCAAACCTGCCAGTCTTTGTTCCCCTCATCTGGCTGCCCAGGACATGAATGACCACTTTATTCTCTCCAAAAACTCCTCTCCTCTTGGCCTACGACCCTCTCCTAGCATTCTTCTGGAGTCTCCTTTCAGGTCTCCTCTGCTTTCTCTCTCTCTTTTTAGGAAGAGTCTTGCTCTGTCGCCCAGCCTGGAGTGCAGTGGCACAATCTCAGTTCACTGCAACCTTTGCCTCCCAGGTTCAAGCGATTCTCCTGCCTCAGCCTCCTGAGTAGCTGGGATTACAGGTGCCTGCCTCCATGCCCGGTTAATTTTCGTATTTTTAGTTTCACCATGTTGGCCACGTGCTGGTCTCGAACTCCTGACCTCAGGTGATCTGCCTGCCTTGGCCTCCCAAAGTGCTGGGATTACAGGCATGAGCCACCGCGCCCGGCCTCTGCTTTCTCTTTTAATGTAGCCAGGTCCTATTTCCTGTTTTGTGTTAGTCCGTCTCAGGTATTACACTGTAACGACCACAGGCACCGTTTCCACACCCCTGTCATACTCAGACGTCCCATGGGTATCTAAGACAACCAGCTGCGCCCTCAAATACCCACACCGGCTTCCCCCCAAACTTGGGCCTCTAGGTCTCAATGGCACATCCACTCCTAAGGGTGTTCCCTTTCCGGTCCTCACTGTGCTAGGCTCGGCCCCAGCCTGGGGCTCCACAGGCCGCTTCACCAGTGTGATGTCCGGAACCTGGGTGGCCGCCCCGAGCCGCCGCTCCTCAGGCTGCACAGGGCTGATGGTGACGAAGTCATGGGGCCGCGGGCCCAGCAGCTGTGCGCGGGCAGAGGCGGGCCCGGGACCCGGGGCCGCAGCCAGCTTGAGGCGCAATGTGCGCAGGAAACGGCGCAGGCGGTCCGGGGGACAGTCCGAGAGCAGCAGCTGCACCGCGCCGGCCCCCGGGGTGCCTTGAGTGGGGAGCCGCAGGGTGCTGCGCCCTGCCGCGGCGAAACGCGTGAAGAGGCGCGCGGCGCGCAGAGGGAAGCAGCGCGGCCGCCCCACGGGCCCCGGCGCCTGCAGTCGCAGCATCAACTCGCGGCGCTCGTTGCGACCCAGGCTCAGCTCCGCGGTGCGCAGGGCCTGGCGCCTTCGCGGCTGCCCACTCGGGCTCAGCTCCTCCACAGCCACACGGCAACGCAGCTCCGAGTCCTCGTAGTCCCCTGCCGCCGCCTCCGTGCCCGAAAGCATCGCCACCGCCTCTGCAGGTCTGTGAAGGGAACGGAGCCCAGGGGTCATGAGGATTCAGGGGACGTAGTGGGTGTTATAGAGGACGTGACGGGGAACAGCGTCAAGGCCACACAGGATCACGAGAACTGTCACAGGTAACACAAGGAGGTCACAGAGACGGAGAAAGGACTTTAGGGCTAACCGAAAATCCACTCTTAGAATGTACCCTGGGCCGGACGTCGTGGCTCACGCCTGTAATCCCAGCACTTTGGGAGGCTGAGGCGGGCCGATCACCTGAGGTTAGGAGTTCCGAGATCAGCCTGGCCAACATGGTGAAACCTCGTCTCTACTAAAAATACAAAAATTAGCCGGTTGTGGTGGCGGGCGCCTGTAATTCCAACACTTTGGGAGGCTGAGGAAGGAAGATCGCTTGAACCCAGGAGCTCGAGACCATCCTGGGCAACAAACATAGCAACGTAGCGAGACCCTCTAATTAAAAACAAACAAACAAACATACATTTACATACATATGCATATATTATATATATATATGTGTGTGTGTGTGTGTGTGTGTGTGTACACACACACATCCTGCTACACTACAATTCTGGAGCTGACGGGCACCCAGGATTTGGGTGCCTCAGGTGTCCTGCAAGGGCCTCATTAGAAGGGGTTCCCTGCGCTGAAAGAATCCTCCTTCCTAGAGACCCAGGGCCAGCACAGGAATCCTCAGAGTCCTCTCCCCTGGAAGCAGAAGAATCGTCCGTGGGGAGATGCAAAGAGGGCTGCCAGGTAATAAGCGCCTTCTGCTTTGCGGGTACATTCACTGGCTTACATGCAGCAGGCAGATCTCACTATTCGCGGTGTACAGATGCGGAAACGGGCTAGGAGAGGGAAACTCACTTGCCCATCATAAGCCACAGCGGCTAGCAGTCAAAGTCACTGTGATCCCATGCCCTGGCGCTTCCCACCACCAAGGTGGGGACGAGGTGGAAAATATTCGGCTAGGGAAATCGCTGGGGACCCTGGGACTCTAGAATCCATGCTCCCTCCGGCTGACTCACTCGTCTGCACCCTCCCGGTGGGAAACCCCTGGAAGAATCAGGCTCTTTGCTCCCCACCTCCGGGCTCCGGCAGCCACTCACTCGTGTCGACACTCAGATGAACAAGCCGATCCCAGCTGGCGGATGGCGAAGCTCCGAAACTAGAAATTTTTCAAATACTAGAGGCAGGAAATCACCCAATCACCGACTGGATCTTTAAATTATCCAGCCAATCAGAGGTAGGGGAGTAACAAAGGGCGTGTCGTTCTTTGCGTTTCTACTCTGGAGCTTGGGCTGTACCAATTGCCTGCCGGTGGAAGGAGGTTTATGGTGGTGGCCGAGCGAACCAAATCCAGTGGAGGGCTGGGCGTGGTAGGAGGAGGCCGTGGTGGGCCCAATGTAATCACAAGGGAAAGAAGGAAACAGAAAACTCAGAGAAGATATATGACAAACGAAGCAGAGGTGAGAGAGCGAGAGATGTGTAGATGCTACTGCTGGCTTTGAGGATGGAAGCAGGGGCCACAGGCTAAGCCAAGGAAGGCAGGAGGCCTCTAGAAGCTGGAAAGGGCAAGGAAATAGATTATCTCCTGAAGTCTCTAGAAGGAACACAGCTGTTGATTTTAGCCCAGTAGGACGCATTTCAGACTCTTGACTTCAGAATGACAAGATAATAAATTTGTGTTGTTGCCGGCCGTGGTGGCTCATGCCTGTAACCCCAGCACTTTGGGAGGCCGAGACGGGCGAATCACCTGAGGTCGGGAGTTCGAGACCAGCCTGACCAACATGGAGAACCCCGTCTCTACTAAAAATACAAAATGCCGGGCATGGTGGCGCATTCCTGTAATCCCAGCTACTCGGACGGCTGAGGCAGGAGAATCGCTTGAACCCGGGAGGTGGAGGTTATGGTGGGCTGAGATCGTGCAAACTGTACTCCACCCTGGGCAGCAAGAGTGAAATTCCGTCTCAAAATAAATAAAAATATAAATTTGTGTTGTTTTAAGCCACTAAATGTATGATAATTTGTTATAGCAGCCATAGCAATAAGAAACATACAGTCACATAGGGAGAAAATGAAAGAGCTGGAATTATGAACCCAGGTCTGTTTCCAAAGCCTGTGTTTTCTCTTCCTACTGCCCTCTGCTTAGAATGGTCCTAGCACACTTAACAGCAGGGGAAGCCAATCCCCTAACCTGTCTCTGTGTGCAATACCCCAGACTGCTTCAAGAGAAGGCACCAGAATGTCCCAGTGGATTTTCGCCCAATATGCTTTTTTGTTTTGGCTTTCAAAGATTTATTTATTTATTTATTTTAAAGATGGGGTTTCACCATGTTGGTCAGGCTGGTCTTGACCTCCCGACCTCAGGTGATCTGCCCGCCTTGGTCTCCAAAGTGCTTGGATTACAGGGGTGAGCCACCACGCCTGGCCCCCCCCCCTTTTTTTTTTTTCAATTCTTTTTCTTACTTTCAAACTTTTATTTAAAAATATTGTGGAAAAAGACACGACATAAAATTTATCATTTTAACTATTTTTAAATGTATAACTCATGGCATTAAGTACATTTCAAATATATAACCATCACCACGATTTATTATTATTTTTTTTCCCCCTTTCCCCCACAACGTAGTTTTGAATGTTTTCATCATTCCACATAGAAACTTCATCCAGGCCGGGCGCGGTGGCTCACTCCTATAATCCCATCACTGTGGGAGGCAGAGACAGGTGGATCACCTGAGGTCAGGAGTTCAAGACCAGCCTGACCAACAAGGTGAAACCCCGTCTCTACTAAAAATACAAAAAAGTAGCCGGGCATGGTGGCTTAAGCCTGTAGTCCCAGCTACTTGGGAGGCTGAGACAGGATAATTGCTTGAACCCGGGAGGCGGAGGTTGCAGTGAGCAGAGAACGCACCACTGCACTCCGGCCTGGGCGACAGAACGAGACTCCATATCAAAAAAGAAAAAAGAAAAGAAAAGAAAAGAAATTCCATCCAATTCCTAATTCCTCTCACACCTAGTTCTCACTTTTTTTTTTTTTTTTTGAGATGGAGTTTCGCTCTTCTTGTCCAGGGATTATAGGCATGCGCAACTACACCCGGTTAATTTTGTATTTTCAGTAGAGACAGGGTTTGTCCGTGTTGCTCAGGCTGGTCTCGAACTCCTGACCACAGTTGATTCGCCCGCCTTGGCCTCTCAAAGTGCTGGGATTACTGGTGCAAGCCACCAGTGAGGCCCAATTTGTTGTTTTGAGAGAGTCTTCCCTCTGTCACCCAGGCTGCAACCTCCACCTCCCAGGTTCACCCAATTCCCGTGCCTCAGCCTCCCAAGTAGCTGGGACTACAGGCACGCACCACCATGCCTGGCTAATTTTTCGTATTTTTAGTAGAGATGAAGTTTCGCCATGTTGCCCAGGCTGGTCTTGAACGCCTTGCAAGTGATCCATCTGCCTCAGCCTCCCCAAGTGCTGGGATTACAGGCGTGAACCACCGCGCCCGGCCCTATTTTGAATAAATACCTAGGTGCGAAATTCTGGGTCACAGAGTAGTTGTATATTTAGTTTTATATGAAACTGCGAGATCTTTCTCCATAGTGTTGTACTCGGTTTTTGTCTGAGCAACAAAGTCCCAGCACGGAAAGTTATCGAACATATAACTAGACACCGCCTGGCGGTGGATTAAGGATCCTCAGGTCTTCGCTCCTCCCCGTCCTCGCGCCTTGGTCCTGCCAGCTGCATCCTGATTGGCCGTCGGCGAAGGGAGGCGGGGTCAGAGGGAGCCCTCATTCCTGGGGCTGTACTTCCTCCCCTTTGGCTTCGGGCGGGACTGGGCATCCGCCCGGCACTCTGCTCACTGCTGCCGCCTTGAGGTCAGTCTGGATTGAGTGCAATGCTGCTCTCGGATATCCTCGACCAACCCAAAGCCTGGTTTGGAGAGATCTCAGGAGGAACGGGTTTTCTTCTTTTTGAAATTTTCTCCTCGGAATATCCTTGCACACGTCTTATCTGCTGGCTCTCATTGAGAGGTCTCGGTTCAGTCCCTGGCTTATTAATAACAGCTACAATGACGTTAGCACAGAGGAGGCTACAAAATGCATTTTTGGCATTATCTCATGTGATACTCGAAAGGCCCCCTCCCCTCCACCTTAGGATCCTTTCTTTCCAAGCTTTTTGACTCACCGCTTTCCGCAGCCTGAGGCTTACAAGGACTGTCCGTGGAGGAGCTGAACGGGAAACGGTATTTATTTTACTGTCGTCCATCTTCCAGAGCGGGACCGCACCTTGCACTGTCATCACTGGCAGCGGGGCACTCATTTTGTTGAACCTTTCATACAGCTGATCCCCTCTTAACTTCCACGGCTTCGCGCTCCCCTGTTTCTTCCTGTCTACCGGCTGCTCCGAGTTAATCTCCTTTGCTAACACCTTTTCCTCATTAGACCTCTGACTGATCTCCCTATCTCCCTTTCTCCCTCCCTCCCTCCCTCTCTCCCTTCCGCCCTCTTTCCTTCCTTTCTTGGGTGACTCAATTATCAACTACATGATGATTCCCAATATTCCATCTCCAGCCTGCTCTTCTTCCTGGAACACCAAACAATATCTCCATTTGTCTTCCTGATATTTCCACATGGATGCCAACAGGCATGTCAGACTCCCTTTCTCCAAAACAGAGGGTTTAATCTCCTTCCCCACTACCATATACACCTGTTTTTCTCCTGTCTTTGTCATCTCAGTAAATGGCACCACCATTTGGGGCTCAATTAAAAAACCCACACCATATCCCTGATTGTTTCTTCACCTGCCACATCCACCCACCATCGAGACCCGACGTTTCTTTTTTTTTTGAGATGGCATTTCACTCTTGTTTCCCAGGGTGGAATGCAATGGCATGATCTTGGCTCACTGCAACCTCCTGGGTTCAAGTGATTCTCCTGCCTCAGCCTCCCAAGCAGCTGGGATTACAGGCATGCACCACCACATTTGGCTAATTTTGTATTTTTAATAGAGATGGGGTGTCTCCATGTTGGTCAGCTGGTTTCAAACTCCTGACCTCAGGTGATCTGCCGGCTTCGGCCTCCCCAAGTGCTGGGATTATAGGTGTGAGCCACCTCGCCTGGCCTTTCTTTTCTGAGATAGGGTCTTGCTGTCACCCAGGCTGCAGTGCAATGGTACAATCACGGCTCACTGCAACCTCTGCCTCTTGGGCTAAAGCAATGCTCCATGTCAGCCCCTTAAGTAGCTGGGACAACAGGTGGGTGCCACCAGTTGTTTCTGTACCACCAGTTGTTTCAGCCTCTAATTTTTTTTTTTTTTTTTTGAGATGGAGTTTTGCTCTGTTGCTCAGGGTGGAGTGCAGTGGCATGGGCCCAGCTCACTGCAACCTCTGCCTCCCAGGTTCAGGTGATTCTCCTGCCTCAGCCTCCCCAGCAGTCAGGATTACAGGCATCCACAACCACGCCTGGCTAATTTTTGTATTTTCAGTAGAGACGGGGTTTCACCATGTTGGCCTGATGTGGAACTCCTGACTTCACATCTTCTGGAGTTTTCCATGATTTATAGTAAGAGAGTTAGGAGCTTGGAAAATAAATAAATGCCCACCTCAGCCTCTCAAGTGCTGGGATTACAGGCATGAGCCACCTAGCCACAAATACACCATTTCAAAGAAGTTTCTCACAGATGAATAACTGCCCCAGTGGTGGGCTTCCAACTTCCCCGCAGCCACTGCCCACCTTCTCTGCATTTGCGTATCTTGTATCTTGCAGGGTTTTAACAACAAAAACGGTTGGTCACCGGTGAATTAGCAGCTCAAGAAAGGCAAGAATGTTTTTCTGAGAAAATAAAATAAAAAGCTAAAAGCTTGCAAAGCCACCAGATGCTGAATACTTCAGAAAAAGAATTGCTTTGTAGTACTGCTTTGAAATGAGCTTTCTAAGCAGATGTGGTTCTCCCTCATTCTAAACCACCTTCCAGCAAATCAGATATTCAGGTCATTCTCATTAACTTCTGGGGTTATCTCCATAGTTTAGAAAGCAAGATCACAAAAAATAAAAAATAAAAAAAAATTTCTGAGACAGGGAGTTCTGTCACCTAGGCTGGAGTATGGTGGCAGGATCACCACTCACTGCAGCCTCAGGCTCAAGCAATTTTCCCACCTCACCCCCCTGAGAAGCTGGGACCACAGGAATGCCACCTTATCCGGCTAATTTTATTTTTAATAGAGATGGAAATCTCCGTATGTTGCCCAGGCTGGTCTCAAACTCCTGGACTCAAGAGATCCTCCTACCTCAGTCTCCCAAAGTGCTGAGATTATAGCCATGAGCTGCTATATCTAACCATAAGGTCACTAAATTCCAAAGAAAACTAACATTTCTTTAGCCCCTACCAATGTCAGGCACTATGAAAGTGACTTTCATGTATTTAACCTTCAACTCACCTCTATTTTGGGTATAAGGATAATGATCCCTGTTTTGCAAATGTAGGAGCTGGTACTCATATCAAACCTCTGCCCAAAGTCAGCAACCGGGGCAGAGCCAGAGAGCAAAGTAAAAAGACAAGCCTGCCGACACTACAGCTGGAACACCTCCCCTTCCACATTCTATTCTCAGATCCACAAATACGGGGGGAAAGTGCAACTAAACTGGGCCAAGATCTACAAAGGTCAATTTAATAAAGGAGCTAGAAATACTTGGGAGAGCCTTAATGGGGAAAACGGGGAGGGAGGTAAGAAGTGGCACCTCCAGGCCAGGCGCAATGCCTCATGCCTGTAATCCCAGCACTTAGGGAGGCTGAGTCAGGTGGGTCACCTGAGGTCAAGAGATTGAGACCAGCCTGACCAACATGAAGAAACCACATCTCTACTAAAAATACAAAAAAAATTAGCTGGTGTGGTGGCGCATATCTATAATCCCAGCTACTCAGGAGGGTGAGGTGGGAGAATTGCTTGAACCCAGAAGGCAGAGGTTGCAGTGAGCCGAGATCATGCCGTTGCACTCCAGCCTGGGCAACAAGAGCAAAACCCCGTGTCAAAAAAATTAAAAAAAAAAAAGGAGGTGGCTTCTCCCCTGCTTAAATATCATCAGTTCAATAATTCATGTAACAAGTATTTATTGAGCTCCTGCTATATGCTAGCGTTCTAAGCACAGGGGATGGAACAGAAGGGGACAAACCAAACCCCTCACCTCATAGAGTTTATACCGATAATAAAGGTATACAACATGGCAGCTGGCAACATGGGCTATGAAGAAAAACGAGGAAACGAGGAAAAGCAGTATGATTTTGAAAAGGGTTGCCAGGGAAAGCCTCACTAGTGAGATGGCACTGAGCAAAAGCTCTACCTGAAGCAAAGGAGTCAGCCATCCACAGGGCCAAGGAAAGAGTTTAGGCTGAGGCACCATAAGTGCAGAAGCTCTGAGGAGTTCATCTGTCCTGTTACAGGAACAGCCAGGCCAGTGAAACAGGAGTTCCATGAGTGAGACTGTAGGAGAAGAAGTCAGATAACCAGCTGTACAGGTAATTTAGCCTGTGTTTCTCAAATTTTAGCCTGCCTCAGTCTCACTAGCATACCCTGTATGTGAAATCTCATTTTGCTGGCTACCCCCAGAGTTTCTGCCTCACCTGGCGGGGCCTGGGAATTTGCATTTCTAACAAGTTCCCAAGTGATACTGATTCTGCTGGCCTGGGGTCCACACTATGGGAGCCTTCCAAGTCATGATAAGACTTTGAATTATGTTCTGACTGTGACCAGAAGCATTGACAGATTCTGAGCAGAGGATAAGAGAAATTATAGCAGGGCAAGGGTAGAAACATGGGACCAGAGTGGGAGCCATTACAAGAGTTCAGGCAAGAAACAGTGATGGTCTTGAATTAGAGCGGCTGTGGAAAAAGGTAGGGAAGTGGTCAGACTCAGTCTACTTTCTGAAGGTAGTATTGATACACTTGCTGATGATGTGACATGAGATGCTAAGAGAAATCAAGAGATAAGTCCTACACTGTAGACTGACCTACTGAGTGGAAGCATTTGCTAACATGGGAAGATAGGTTTGGTACTGGGTTTCATTTTTAACACAATTATTTTGATATTCCCATTAGACATCCAAGTAAGGTAGTGAGTGGGCAGATAGCTTACATGTCTCAAGCCTTGGTAGATGTCCAGGACAGAGGTATAAATTTGAAAGGTCTATTTTTATAATCGGTATGTATAATAATAAGGCTGGATGAGATCATGAGAGAGTGAGTATAAACAGAAGAATCCAAAATACTGAGCCCTGAGGCACACAGAGTAGACGGGGAAGGAAAAGCCTATGAAATAGGAAAAACTCAGGAGAACAGGAAGCTGTGGAAACAAAGAGAAAAGGTATTTCCATAAGAAGGTTGTAACTCAACACTGATAGAATTGGAGTAAAAAGAAGACCAAGACGTGACCACTGGATTTGGCAACCTGCACCTAGAGTCATTTTGGTGAATTAGTGGCCAGAGCTAGATTTACCATAATTAAATAATGAAATTAAGCTTCATTAGCCAATGAAGCTTAAATTTAAGGCCCCTCACTTGCACAGGAGCATCAAAATTCCCAGAAAGGGCACTAGCAACATGTTCACATGTTCACGTTTTTGTAAAATTTGCAAAGGTAAAACTAAGACGTCTATTGAATTTCTCTTTTCACTTTGACTTTCTTTCTGTCAAAAGGCAGTGGTATGGCCAAGGGCGCTTTTGGAATCTGGCTAAGGGTAAGTTGAGTTGCGGATACATTTTCTTTGGGTTTAATAGGTTATATTATAAGATTCATGATCACTTTCATATATAATAGTTATTATCAGTGGTTCTGGAATATGAGATATTTGGTTATCACATCTTCTAGAGTTTTCCATGTTTTATACTAAGGGAGTTGGGAGCTTGGAAAATAGATCAAATGCCACTGAGCATCACCAAAGAACCTGTATCTCGAGAGTCTCTCCTCATGCCTGCTTTACATTCTAATCTTGTGTGGACATGAGAGAGAAAAATAGGTCCATCAGAAGTTGTATTTTGATCAGCTAGGGCACAGGTTTTTAAAGTTTTACCCATTGTTATTTTTGTTGGTATCTGGTTTTAATGGAGGAGCTTATTCAATTAAAATCTTAAAGAAACACTCATTATTTGTCAGAGACAAAAGCAGTTTTAAGGTCAATTGGGCCTCCTGCATCCTGGTTTCCCCAGTAGCCCAACCAGCCCCTAAGGACTGTACTTTGACAACTGTTGATGTGGGCATTTGGATTGCTCTGACCCGCAGCACAGTTACATATGCTATTACAGCAAAAGGAGAATTGTTTGGAGTCCAAATTTCAGATGGGCAGACTAAATCTAAGTTAAGTTTGGCCTTACCTTCCTAACTTCAGGGCCTACACAAACACCTCACAGAAAAATAGACAAATTTTAGAATATCCAAAAGCAAACAAAGAAAATGTGTGATTAACTGAGAATACTTCTGTGTCAAAGGAAAGC